CAGTTTTGCTTCATAGAATTGATAAAGTTAGATGAACATGATGTAAAGAATGTGACTTCATTTGACTTGAACCTGCAGCAGTACTCTTCTGATTTGTGTGTACTCCAGATTAGATACGGTCACATTTAATACTTTGGTTCTATAGTAAATGTAGCTTGTTAAAAGTTTAGATGATCATCTTGGTAAAATATGTTGTTCTGTGATGTGTTTTGTTACCTTGCAGCTAACTTCTCTCTGTATGTCTCTGACTAGGTACGGATATCTCTGTTGGAGAGGAGGTAGCCATCAAATTGGAATGTGTGAAGACCAAACACCCACAGCTCCACATAGAGAGCAAAATCTACAAGATGATGCAGGGTGGAGGTACTGTATACTGTAACACCATGTACACGCACATCCTGCAATTGTAAGACAGTTGTTGGTCCTTTTGTGAACCAAGTTCTTTACAGAGCGTACATATTGTTATCTGGGAGCTGACAGCGCATTGCAGAGCCACAAACTGGAGGCCATGTCTGTGTCCACTGTGGGTTACAGAGGGGTGCAGTTGCGTCTCTGGTGCAGAAGGAGTGCGTGCATGCAGCGGATTCCTTCTGGAGAAGTGAATACGTCAGAAACAGGAAATCTCACCTTAAATGCTATTAAATGTCTTGTAAAAAAAAAATTAAATGGTGGATAAACGCAAATTATTAACCTTGCTGTTAAAATGGTGGACAGTGAGAAAGTCTAGCATAACCTCTGGAATGATTGTAAAAACAAGGATGAGTTGTATGCGCAGAAAAATAACAGTTGACTTGAGTTTACAGCCATCGATTAAAGAATACATGAAGCAGGCTATAACAGATTGGGAGGTAAGTGTTGTGAATGGTAAGAGAAGAGATTGCAGAAAGTAGCCTATTTTACAAGTAAAGAAATTGCTAACATAGCTAACAGGTACTGAATTATCTAAGTAAATTTAGCCAAGGAAGATGACGTTACATAATTAATGTTGTATAAGTTGGAATTTCTTTGAATATTGTATTAATTAGCATTTTTAGCAATGTTAAAAATGTGTACTTCCTCCTCATCAAAGTCAGTATGTTTCATTCTCTTGGAACCATGAATGCCTGTACAAAATGTCATAACAGTTTCAACTGGACCAACAGATGATAAATTACTAGCATGGCTAAAAAAGTGTCATGCACCAGTGTGGACATACTGGCAACATGAGAAAAATACCTCCCAGTTGGAGCTGGGTGTGTATAATATGTACTCAACTCTTAACATCCCCACAGGCTTCCAGCATGGGAGAGGCAAGAAAAAAACCTATTACTATGAGTCTGAATGTGTGAACATTTGTCACCAGAGAGGTTTCATGGTAGCAGGTCTGGAGCCCATACTGCTCTGGTGGCCACAGATCACCATGGCATACTTTTTAAGTTTCTAAATAAGTTTTATTTTGCTGGCATCTGGCCTTACTAATTATGCTCTGTCTTAATAGCAAATAGTCTGCTTGACTCAGGGTGTACTGCTGACAAGACTGTTTGTTTGTCTCCGTAAGCACAACTGTGCGCACACTTACAGTGGGTATGGAAGGTATTCAGACCCCCTTAAATTTTTCACTTTTTGTTATATTGCAGCCATATGCTAAAATCATTTAAGTTCATTTTTTTCCTCATTAATGTACACACAGCACCCCATATTGACAGAAAAACACAGAATTTTTGACATTTTTGCAGATTTATTAAAAAAGAAAAACTGAAATATCACATGGTCATAAGTATTCAGCCCCTTTGCTCAGTATTTAGTAGAAGCACCCTTTGGAGCTAATACAGCCATGAGTCTTTTTAGGAATGATGCAACAAGTTTTTCACACCTGCATTTGGGGATCCTCTGCCATTCCTCCTTGCAGATCCTCTCCAGTTCTGTCAGGTTGGATGGTAAACGTGGGTGGACAGCCATTTTCAGGTCTCTCCAGAGATGCTCAATGGGTTTTAAGTCAGGGCTCTGGCTGGGCCATTCAAGAACAGTCAAGGAGTTGTTGT